ATCAAGGTACCAAAGTACACTTGATGCCTTCAAGCACACCTATGAAACACATCAATGAGTTTTAGGTACCCAATTTACGTTGGGTCCTCGGGTGTTAGGTGTGTGATGGTAGTGTGCTTGATTTTGTGATAGGTGCCTATGCCTAGTGTAACAAACGGGAGCAATATGGCCTATCCTATTACAGTAATGGCAAACTACGTTGGGGTTATACATGTGCCTAGGTTCATAATAGTTAGAAGGTTTAACCATTTTGTTCCTATTTTGTGAAAATGATGGTTTTTGGAAATTTTGAAACTGGCCTCTTCTAGGTGTTCTAGAATTATTTCTTCTTATTTGAAAAAATTCATTTTTATGCACAAAATCATTTTTCTTGGGTTGTCTACCATGACTGTTTTCATTCCTAGGTTTTAGTCTAGATTGTCTAGTGTCCTTAGGTTGACTATGTTTTCTATTATCTTGATTTTTAGGTTTCTTATGTTGAACCTTAGATCATTGTCTAGGTGGTGGCTCAACATTAACTTTTGCTTTATTTTTATCAAAACCTATTCCTTCTTTAGAAAAATGCATAGTGTCAAGAAGTAAATTTAAGTCTTTGTGAGGAGTATTAAATTTCTTGCTCAAGTTTAGCGACTTGCTCTTTTAAAGCCTTACAAGACCCACATTCACCTGAAGAACTTTCTGGTTTGTCAGCACTTCTTTTTCCAAAAAATTTGTTTTCTTGTTTAAGTATTTCATTTTCTTTTTCCAATTTTTCAAAATCGTTTTCAAGTGTAGAAAGACGTTTCTTCAAAGATTTATTTGTTTTAGAGGTGCTAACAAATTCTTCATAAAGTTCATGAAGTGCTTCTTGCATTTCTTCAAAAGTATAAGAGTCGGAAGAAATGTTACATACCTCTTGGACGTCGTCGCTTTGATCTTCGTGCGCCATGAGGCAGAGATTTGCATCTTTGTCCTCCTCTTGGTCGGTTTATTCGTCGCCGGAATCGCCACCCCAAGAGATGTAGGCCCTTTGCTTCTTGAAGCCAGGCTTATCCTTGCCGTGTTTCGCCTTTGGACACCTTGGCTTGATGTGGCCAATCTCGCCACAGCCGTAGCACTTGGGAGGACCTTCGTGCTTCCTTCCCTTCCGCTCAAATTCCTTCTTCATGAACTTGTGGAACTTCTTGATGACGAGCCCAAATTCATTGTCATCATCGCTTGAAGCCTCTTCCACCGGTTCCTTGGTGGCTTTGAGAGCTATCCCCTTTTTCTTTTGTTCATCCAAAGACGGGGTTAGAATAGTAGATTCATAGGTTTTAAGGTTACCTCTTAGCCCGTCGATGGTGACGTTGGAGACTCCAATGGATTCATAGATTGCATCGGCTTTTGACCTCCATTCGGGTGTGAGGCATCGCTTGAAGCCTCTTCCACCGGTTCCTTGGTAGCTTTGAGAGCTATCCCCTTTTTCTTTTGTTCATCCAAAGACGGGGTTAGAATAGTAGATTCATAGGTTTTAAGGTTACCTCTTAGCCCGTCGATGGTGACGTTGGAGACTCCAATGGATTCATAGATTGCATCGGCTTTAGACCTCCATTCGGGTGTGAGGCTCCGCAGGATTTTCCTCACGAGATCCTTGTTTATGTAAGTCTTTTTGAGAGCATGAAGATCGTTGATGATCTTTGAGAACCGGTCGAACATGTCATCAATTTTCTCACCTTCTTTCATCTGGAACATTTCGTACTCTTGGGTGAGAAAGTCGATCTTGGCTTCGCGAACTTGATCGGTACCTTCGTACGTCACCTCAAGCTTGTCCCACATCTCCTTGGCGGTTGTGCAACAGGATATCTTTCGGTAGTCATCGGGGTTGACCGCGCAATATAGCATATTGATGGCCTTTGCATAGTTTTCAATCTTCTTGATGTCCTCGGCATCAAATTCGTTTTCAGTCTTTGGGACCGTGGTTTCTCCCACTTTCTTCATAGGGGTTTCTTCGCCATTTTTGATCACCAACCACAATTGGAAGTTGGTGGAACGAATATAGATTCTCATCCGTTCCTTCCTATAAGAGTAGTTGGTGCCATCAAAGAGTGGTGGCCTAGAGGTTGATTGACCTTCTCCAATTCCTGCATAGAGATTTCTAGAAGAAGAATCCATAATCGCTTTACTCTCAAACGGTTAAGTTTGGACGCGAGTTAGGCTCCGATACCAATTGTTAGAATAAAGGACCAACGCTAGAGGGGGGGTGAATAGCGTTTGATCAAAAATCGCAGGAATAAAAATGAATAAACGAGAAGTAAAGAGAAGAGTAAGAGGCACACCGATTTTATCCTGGTTCACCACAACTTGTGGCTAATCCAGCCTCCCGAGAGACTCTCTCGAGCTACACTACTATCTCGTTAAGCTTAACGGTGCTTAACAAACCCGTACAACTTGAGAGTTTGAGTCACACGAACCTCAACAAACCTTCGAAGGAAACAACCCTTCCTTTGAACAACAAGAGAAGTACGTTCTCTTGTCAAGTGTCTAAGAACACTAAAGACACTCAAGAACAATACTCTCTCTTAGAGTAGATAATGAGTAACTAAGAACGCTCAAGAACGCAACACAAGCTTCACAAAAAATGGCTCTCAAAAAGCTATGAAAAAGTGATGAATGATTTGCAATGAAAGAGTAGAAGTTGTGAAGTTATGTGATGATTAAAGCAGACCCAAACACCCCATTTTATAGTGGAAAAATAGGCTCCAACGGACCAAAATATTTAAGGGGTGATTGGCACAGTTTGTGGGATTTGATTAAATTTGGATCTGCTGAAATTCACCCAGACAGCGCTGTCCTAGGCTTGGACATCGCTGTTCTAGGCTTGGTTTTTAAAAATTGGGAAGCAACGGTCATGCCAACAGCGATGTCCAATACCCCTACATCGCTGTTTTGGCTGTTGACTTCCAAACAAGGAAAGTTTTAGCCTTAAATTTCTTCCAACGGTCAGGTCTCTACATCGATGTTCCATACTAGAACATCGCTGTTTAGGTCTGCCTTTGAAGATGGAAGTTTGGCCTGACATCGCTGTTGCTGAGTCAACATCGCTATCCAAAAACTTTCTGCCAATGCACTATATTTTTGGCTTAGGTTGGACAGCGCTGTAGGGA